AACAACCGTTATGTGAACAAAACTATAATACTCTCTTTAGCAACTTTGTTGCGAGAGTATAAAAAAATGCCGTTAGAAATTCAAAAGCTCAGTAATATTGCAACTAACATGATACTAACCTGGCACAAACGTACCTATTCTGTTTTTAAGTCTTACAACTAAACAGGCAATTTTCATGCATAAAACCACAATGAAATATTCAGATGGAACATGTCGAATGTATTAGCATTTAGTCAGTTCGTTTAAAGAGTTTATCACGATCATTTTGAGTTCGCTCTGTAGATCCCTGTGACTTTCGACTGGCTAGGAGTTTTTCAGCTACTACAAATGCAATTTTTAAAACAGAAAGTTTTCATGGAAACCAAACGCAGACGCTAGGGCAAAGGAAGTTTTAATTTCGTGACTAACAACACTGTGATTCCATGAAAAAGTTTTTAATTGATTACTAAATGAACAAGTGTTCGAATGTGCGCCCTAAAACTAACCAAATTATGGCCAGCTAACTGTAATTAAACAACTTTTAACGAAGTTTATTTTTAATTTTTGGTCGTAATTGTTAGTTTGCTCACTAAGAACAATTATGAAAAGCCATTACGGTACATCTATATTTATGCTAAAGTACATAGAAGTTCTTCAATTATGCAGAGAGGCAGTAAGATATAAAAGTGACCTCAAGTTGAATTAAAACTGTCAGTTAGTTCAAAGTACTACCTCGCAATGGAGCTTCATGAGCACGACAACTTATCCGGCGGACGGCGCGTCATAAAAATACTAAAACTGCTGGGCCTTTGGCATTACGGTGGTGCTATGAGAACTCCTTACTTACTTTACTCCGGCCTATTGCACTCCGTGTTCTCCATACCGTATACCACAATGATGTGCATGGACGTGGTGCAGGCATCGGATTTGGAGAAATTCACCTACACCATGTATATGACGCTCACCGAGTTGGGTATGGTCGTGAAACTGGTGAACGTTTGGTTTTACTCCAGATTATTGGTAGACTTCTTTGCGGCTTTTACACACGATAAGCTGTACCAGCTGCAGGACGCCGAAGAGCAGCAGAGTTGGCAACGCACGCAAAAAAATTACAGCCGCGTAGCTTTCCTGTACTTCACGATCAGTTTGAGCACTTTGGCCACAGCCTTTGTTGGTGTACTCTACAGTGACGAGTATGAGTTGCCATTCCCATATGCACCACCGTTCGATTGGCGCACACCGCGCGGCTATTGGTACGCTTATTGCTACGAGTTGCTGGCAATGCCAATCAGTTGTCTGTCGAATTGTGCCTTCGATATGATACAGTGTTATATGTTGTTGCAATTGTCGCTGTGTTTCAAAGTGATTTCCGCACGCTTGGAGCGTATGGGTGCTTTGCGAGAAGGTAGTACAACGCATGGCTTTAGCGAAGTTAGGTTTCATCGCGACTTTGTCGACATAGTGCGTTTGCATGCGCGCACAAAGTTGTAAGTTTTATGTGAAGTGTGGGGAGTTTTAGCCAATTTCGTCTAAACATGTAATCTCTTAGACTCTCCCAGCAATGCCAGACTTATATATCGTTTCCTTTTCTCATACAAATTATTTGTTCGTCTTTCGTGCTCTGCTTCAGCGCTTATCGGCTACAGAAGGTAAATATTTTTTACTTCCACTACCTCAACTACTTTCATAAATATATGACAGGTGCAAATTTTGGAGAATCCCTCGCAATTTCTCACGCTTGTTCAGGCAAATTTAATAATGGTTTTGCAAATTTTCATACCCTGCTATTGCGGCAACAATATCATCGAATATTCTAGTGGTTTAAATAATGCCACCTACAATGCGGAGTGGTTTCGTTGCTCGCCGAGGATGCGCAAATATTTGGTGATTTATATGGAAATGTTACAGCGTCCGGTGCGTGTGCGCGCTGGTGACTTTTTTGACATCAGCTTGACCATTTTCGCCAAGGTTTGACATAAATGTGAATTTTGACTACATATGATTTCAAAGGTTTTATTTTCTAGACCATGAACAATACTTACAGCCTAATAGCACTCTTATTAAATATGAACAAGTGAAACGGAGTACAAGAAAGATCATTGGAAGAATTAAAAATTAATCGTCTTTTATATTTCACTTGCTTTATATTGTTCATATTTTATTCATTGCAAAGCCGATCTTTCTATTCAATTCTTCTTTTCAGCTAACATTGCTATGGAAAATAAATTGCCGGTTCTACAGAACCTAGTTTACGACAAATCTTTTAATCTACTCTAATAAATATAGTCTAAATTTATAATAAAGTTTTTGAATCGTTTTTGTGCTGGCACGCAAGCTAAATTCGTCCAACTTTTGTCTTATATTGGTACAACCCATGTTTTGTTCGTGTAAAGTTTGATTTGAAGATATCAATTACTGCGGGTTTGGTGCCGGTTTATTTACGCCGCGAAAGGATTGTCTTGTGATTTTAACTATGGAAAATATCAACAGCGTGTTTGCTTCAAAATTTGTGTTTCAAATGGAGTTACAGCTTTGGAGCCGTTGAATATGTTGTAGGCGTGTTTTGAGGAGCCGCTATTATTTCGAACAAAAGAAACCATTATTGAAACTCGTCCTTTTGGCATCTGAGAGATAGCAGCGAATGTTAACATCTCTTATGGATCGACTCAACACATTTGAATTAATGTTTTGGGAATGAAGCATGACAATTCTAGACTCTTACTAAAAATAAAATGCTTGACAATTGAGCTGCGGACCCTACCCTTATCAAACGAAAATTAGGAGATGGCACGCAAAGGAACTTTTTTGAGAATATGTATTAAACTATTTTAAAATGTATTTTTTTGTTGTTATTCTGGTTGAAATTTGACCACTCGCAGGTCCACAACTTTTTCGAAAAATATTATTTTAACCATAAAAGTCAACTTCAAGAGTTACTGTTATCTATCTACTCCTTAAGAAATTACGTAGAATTTTTATTCCTTTCTGGTCTTCCAATTAAGGGTTTATCAAATGATGCCCTTAGTAAAAATGCACTCAATGGAATATTTGTGGTTTGATGGGGGTAAAAATAAAACTAGAGCTTTAAAGTTAGGTTGAATTTCTTATGAATACAATTTTTTGAGTTTCTGGAAAGGCATCTGAAGCAACTCGGGCAATAAATAGAGGCAGTCTTGTTAGGTCCTTGTTCCCCTGGTTTTTCCAACGTAGTGATGGTCTTTCTCTTTCTCTGCTTCCACAAGCGGGTACTGTGTCAAATATTCTCTGGGCTGGAGCGTGTTTATCCATTCGGATTACATGGTCCAGACAGCGTAGCCGATGCCTCTTAATTCGCTGAACTATATCAATGTCGTCGTTTACCTCGTACAATTCATCGTTCCATTGACTGCGGTATTCGCTGTTGGCAATGCTTATAGGACCATACATCTTCTGCGGAACGTTTCTATCGAAAACTTGAACTGTCGACTCATCAGATGTTGCCATCGTCCATGCCTTTGCACTATATATCAGGATTTAAATGATGGGCGACTTGTAGAATTTGGTATTTGTTCGTCGAGAGAGAACTTTACTCTCAATTGCCTACTCAGTCCGAAGTAGCGCCTGATAGCAAGAATACATTATTGTTGTTATTCAGTCTCTCAGTAAACTCTTATAAAGGATTGTGCCTTCTCTATTTAGCGCTGCAGCTCGAATTATTCTCTCTAGCAGTAGATTGAAGAAGTAGCACGATAGGTAGTTGCCTTGTCCGAAACCTCGTGTGGTATCGAACGGCTAAGAGAGGTGCTCCCGATCTTGACGGAACTTTTGGTATTGCTCGACATAAGCATACACAGCCGTATTGGTTTTGTGGGGATACCAAATTCAGGCAGTTCCTTTTCGTGCTATTAAAAGCAGCTATTTTCGAAACCGTCACATCAGATGACCTCCTAAAGTCTCTCTATACTTAGTATCCGCTGATTAAAATAGCTTTCAGACTTAAATTTCGCTTGTTAACCAATTAACCTGCAATTCTCAGCAAGTTCACGTTATTTATATAACATATGAATTTTAAAAAATTTGTAAATATTATTTTCTATTATTTTTAAAATAAAGAAAATTTAATTTGTTCGATGATTTGGATGTACAAAACAAACGAGCTGGAGTGCTCATCTAATGAAAAAGTTTCTCACTAGAAAATAAAAATTAGTTCTGGCTGGCCACCAAACAACTTCAGTCAATATTAGGAACCGCTGCAGAACCAAACAAACAATGCGCCAAATTATTGAACCATAAAATCGATATCCTACCGGAAATTCGAAATGCTTGCACCACAAGTTGCACACATAGCAAACGGACTGCATTTTTAACATACACACTGCAAATATTTGTAACGGGATATTAACCGAAATTCGTTAGACCTTATGAAAACTCACACAACCATGCGAAAAGCGATTATTTGGAATTACATAAAAATAGTAGAGCACTAATGTCTGTTGGCTTGCGTAGCATTCTTTCCATTTTTACACAAAATTTTTGAAGGAGAAAGGACATGTAGAAATATTGGTGCGGGATTCAGGCATAAAGACACATACATACATACATGTATATACATAAGTAAGTGAAACTACAAGTGTGACTAACACACACATACATGCAATTTACTAAATATGTGTGTATTCAAGTGACCCAAATTCTTTGGATTAAAATACGCAAACTTTACAAATTCACACAAGCGCAGATTGTGACCGCAAACAAACGCACGCACACACATAGATATATATGTATACATATACATATGTATAGCTACAGCCAAAAAGCAAATATATGTTTATTATATGAAGAGGAAACCGCGCTAATTTACCTTGCATGCGTGCGCCGGCGCAGTGAAGTGTGCAACGTGCAGCATGCAACCAGCAGTGGCCAAACAATAAAAACAACAATGACATACGAATTGCCCGGATTTCCGTGCGTATTTGCAGAACGGCCGTGTTGACCCCTCGGCCACTTGATGACTGTATTAGCGCAGCCAGTTCGCACTGGACCGCTGCGTAATGCTTTCTAACGGCAAACGCTTGAGCACTCGAGCGCATGGCATTATCAACGCTTTGACGCAAAGTCATTCAATTGAAGCGAACATTGCGAATGCGACTTTTTGCGCTGCGTTTGCCAGCTGGCGCATATTTATGGCAGCCATACATACTTATTTACATTAGTGCGGGTCGATTTATTCTTTTTATAAAATGATTTTGAAGAACTTTGCCTAACAAACAATGGTTCGAAAACCGGTTTCAAGCTAGCGATTTTTAAGCGAAGTTTTAGAAGTCTGAAGAATCGGTTTATGAAAAATACGAAATATAGTTCTTTGATCCGGCTGATTCCGACAAATGATCAATAGAGTATCAAAATGCTCCTATGCGTTAAAGTTTATTCAGATATGTCAAAAACTGACGAATATTTTTTTATGATCCCTAAAAAGTTCCCGTTTGGGGGTTACAGGGATTTACAGGTTTCAAAAAATCGAATTTTTTTATAGTTTTATTAAATTTTCCAACATCTATAGTATATTCTTCTAAGCTTTCAAGCTGTTCCGAGTAATAGTTTCGGAGATACAGCCTTGAGAACTTAAACACGTTTTTTCGAAAATGTGTCTTTTAAGTCGATGGGCAAGATTTCTCGAGAACTACCCAACCAGTCTTCATGAAATTTTACACTGGTCCAAGACTTTTACAAAGGATTTTTTTCGCTCACAATTAGTTGAAGAAATGTCGCAAAATTTTCACGGAAATTTGAATTTTTTTGAAAAAATATTCGCGAAAAATCCAATTTCCAGGTTTTTACCTTCGCCGGAGTACTAAATTAAGGTTTTGCTTATTGTTTTCCCGAGGAAACCCAAGCAACCTCTTAAAAATTTCGCCTTCAAAATCGCCAGCTCGAAACCCTATGTATCTAATAGTCTCTTAGACAAATGTATTCAGAACCATCCACAGAACATTTCTTGTATAGACTGTTTTTCCATAGTTTTGGCTCCCTGAAATCGACCCACTCTAATATATATATATATAGTATATATGTGAGTATGAGTATATGCAGTGCTATCGACTGCGCTATCGGGGGTGCATGTTTTGGGTATCTAATCAAAGTGCTCGAATGCGAAACAAATGAATTGTGCAAACAATTGTAAATCACAAATGCATTTATCACATGTACGCCTATGTATACATGCGTGTGTGTGTGTGAGTGCAATTTAAAATCGTAAATTTACTTCGTTAGTTGCGAAGAACTATTCCCGGCCCGCATTAGGTAGCTTGTGTGCATCAAGGTGTTAAGTGTTGATTGCATTGATTAGTGATTTCGAAAACAGCAAATCTCCAAATCACATTTGGATTTTATTGCCGCACACACTTCGAATTGCTTTTGTTAGCCGACGCAAGTAGTATTGCGCTTTGTTGTTTTTGTTATTTGAAACTATTGTCGCCATAAGCCGCTCAAATTTCACACAATTCCAATTGCACTCTAATGCCAATGGGAAATTTCGCCAATGCGACGACCTTCAAATTTTGGCAGCTAAGCGATAAATCTTCGAATCTCTGCCACAAGCACTCGTGCAATGACACTTTTTTTGAATTTCACTCGCAAACTATCCTGTAATTTTTAGCCTGTGTTGTATCCGATACTTGAAAACATTGTAAGCTGCTTGTAAAAGCATTGTTTTATAGCTCTTATGGGTGTGTCAAATGACGATAGAGTAGAAATTAAAATACACATTATACAAATTTGGATAGCTATGTGGCGTTATAGACCTACCTTTGTGTGTTGTTATATATATCAGCGCAGCTTTCTGCGTAGTATATGTCCAACGCAAGGGTCTCCTCAACTCTCTCTTCAACTTCCTTGCAACTGCAGCCGAGGCATAAACATATTGTAATTTCACAACGTCTCCGAAAAAAACAGCAATGTATTGAAAAAGAAGCAAAGACATTAACTACCGCAGCATT